TAATAAAAGACCAACAGGAAAGTCAAATAGAGGAACTAAGAACTAAACTGAACCAATCAGAATCACAGTCTGGGCAGAGGGAACAATATGAGAAAAGGCTAAGGGACATGCATAATGAACTGGAGGCAACTCGCAGGAGACTGAAGCGTGCAGAGGCAAAAGCAAAGGAAACCCCTCCTTTATTGCTGGAATTGCAAGATGAGATGGCCAATATGAAAATTCAACACCAGGCAGCAATATTTGAGGTGCTATTAACCAAGTGGCAAATAAGTCAATACTTGTAACGTTCATTCAAATATAAGACACACACACTCACACAGATGCATACATGTGCACGTGCACCCACACAATATCATTTATACCTAAAATAAGATCAAGATCAGAGGTTTGTTTCCATTGTCAATTTTTCATTTACCTCTAACAATACTAAATGCAAAATGACAGAAATAAAATAAAATTGTGTGTTAAATGCATTGTGGAAGGCAGCCCTTGAGCATGCATAATAAGTGGGTTATTTAACATTGCTTTCAGTATCAAACATTATGATTAATAAATTGGAAAGGATGGGGTCATTGCATAATTTATGGTATTACTCTTCATTTACCTGGAGAGATTGAGGAAAAGTACAAGAAATCTCAGGGTAGCCAGTCTTTGAACTGATATTTTAACCCAGGACCTCCTGAATGTGACATAGGAGTACTAACCACTAAGCTGCAACATTGATTAATACCAAGCCACAACTGTTCACCATATTGTAACAAATAAATAGATGAGATTACAGGTTTTTGATAATGGTGTATGATAGAAACCTGACTAATATTTTGGGCACTGTCCACTGTCTTAAAACACAACATACTAGAAATTGGAACAGTTTCCATTCTCAGCTAAAAAGGTACAGAGGTAATAATCCTATTCTACTGGGCCCATTAGGTAGATCTACTGTCAATCCCTGGAAAAAAGGGGGATAGCCCGTACATGGACTGAGAATAAATCTGTCTGATGGATGCAAGGAATAGGATTCTTCCCAATCAGTCTTCTTATGTGAGAACAGAAAAAGATCCAGTTTCTGAAATGCTGTTCAGAAAAATTGAAGATTAGAGACAATGTCTAATATATTCTGATACATTCTGACTGAATGGAAGCCCAAAACTTATAGCATAATAATAATTGGAATACTTTATGCTTTATTCTCTTAGTTAAAGCATATAAGAGGAAAATAAATTATTTGATATCTATATGTACCTGTCTCACTCTGAAGGAGCAAAAACGAGCTTCAGATGCAGAGGAACGTGCCCGACGACTGGCAGCCATTCATGAAGAGAGGGTGGTAAACCTTGAGGCAAGACTGGCTGAACTGTCTGAAACAGTTGGGAACTATGACCGCCTAAGACAGCAAGATCAAATAGCTATCCACAAACTGAAAGTAAGGAAAACACACAAAGTGAAAGTCCATAAGAGAATACTATTAATTACTGGTCTAAAGAAAGGATTATGACCTCTGTAAGGTATAACTTATTGACTCTTTTTTCAGGAACATATTGCACAATTAGATCTGGAGCATTCAAATCTTACTCGGATAACATCTAACATGTCCATGGTGGATTCAGAGGAGGAAATGAAGGGGAAAAGTGAAGCAGACCTGTGTCTTGATGTGCAGACTCTGGTAGACAAGATCCTTTACCTCAGAGGGCAGCTAGTTTTAGCCAGTCAGCGTGCAGAGAAACCAGTCAATATACTGGGTCTGTAGTTTTAAACACTGGGTTTACTTTGTTCTGTCAGTTATTCCTAAGTTGTTTGTACTTTTATATCTCATACATGATACAATAACTTAAATCTTCTAGCAATAACATTTTCTGTCATAAAAATCATCTTCAGCATCTCCAAAGCAGCATATGCTTGAGAACAGCCCAGGAAAATATTGTATTCATAATTTCTGAGAAAGTTAGATGATTATTCTTCACTGATTATCTATAAAAGTAGTTGCTTTCTTTGTAAACTACAAAAAAAAAAAAAAAGGAAAAATATTTGTATCTGAGTGGTCAATTGTTTTTCTTCCCCCATGCCAAGAAACTGTCCTGCTGAGACCAAAGGCCAAGGAACCCCTCCTGGCATAATAAGCACAACATAGATGTTTAAATATGTGTATACAGTGTGAGGACTAGTATTGTGAAGAGTCACTCTCTCTAAAGTGGCCCATCCACGTACGAGTCTGGCTCGGCGACTTTGACTCGTGAGCCAGGCTCGGATATATTTCACCACACATGCATAGCAGACTCGGCTCGTGACACCCCACCCACAAACGAGTTTGGCTCAATGGGACTCGCAAGCCAGACTCGTACGTGGATGGGCCGCTTAAAAGTTAGTGGCTACATATATTACAGAATTAGTCCTTCTATTGTCAGATCTCATACAGAATGCACCATGGTTATTTAAGAAGTGTATGGTAATATATTTCCCATTCATGTGAGAGAATGTTTTAGGCCAGTGAGTTCAGAACTTTTGTAATAGTGATTTTCTTATTCCTGCTACTTCATAAGTAGTTTTTAAAGCAGCTGTGCACAATGTAAACTTCATTATTCATGTATGTCCTTCCCCCACAACAGATATCCTAAACATTAAAGACTGTTTGGACATAAAAAATAATGATGAACATAAGTCCTGTCAGGAGGAATATCAGCAACTCAAGCATGAATTTGAACAGTATAAACAGTCACAGTTACAACAACCTAACAACATAAGGTAAATTTGTGTATCTTGTTCTGTTTCCACAATATTTAAATGTGAATATGTAAGATACATACTCATAAAAATAAATGTACATAGTCTAATGTTAACCTAATTTTCTGATCAGGGTGGAAGACAGTTCAGTAGTTTCTTCATTAAGAATTCAGGTGAAGACACTCAAAGATCGAATACGCATACTCAACGGTCAGTTGGAAGACACTGAAGCTGAGTGGAAACAGAAAGTTGACAATCTCCAGCAGGTAGGTACCAAGATAAAGTAAGGGATAGAAGTTTGAAAACATAGATAAAACTGTGAAACTGAATACACTCTGATTCTGGTTCCAGTTTTGTTGCCTATTTAACTTCCGTCTTAATAACACAATCAAGAATGGAGTGTTGGGACTAAGCAATCATATTTCTTTTGTGAATTTAATTTGTATTTAGTTGGAGTTCAAAGTATGAAGAAAACAATGCACTGAACAACTGTACTGTCCTTATGACTAAATCTTTTTTGGCTGAACCAATTTTCAAAGCAATTAAGATTAGGTAACTATAATAAAATTTATCAATAGAATTACATTTTGGTCCATATTGGTCAATTATATGTACAGCTGAGTTTGTGTTTTACTTTTGGCTGTCTCGAGAAAAGATATCACGTTGGTTCAGTTCACGAGCTCTTTCTCCAATTATAAATTGCTGCCTTATTATGATGTTGATAGATGGTAATGTATATTGGCTGGTAGGAGCAATATTATCACAAACTCAGCCTTTGACTGAGGGTGAAACAGAAACTGAAATTAATATCAGCAAACATACATCAGTGGTCATGTTCAGTTTATGCATTTTTGTAATTTTCATCAAGTTAAAAACATTTTTTCTGTACAGACTTTAAAAGCTGATAGGATGAAATATAAAGAAGAGCTGGCTGCAACTGAGATGGACTACCGGGGCCGCCTATCTCTTTTGGAACAGCAGCTACAGAAACAGAGGGACAGATCACTCAGTTTATTGGAGGAAAAGGAGCAAGAGATACAAACTCTGAAATCTACATTTCAGATGTTCTTACCTGGCAATGTGAAACATGAATCTCCAACAGAATTACTAGAGACTAAGGTATTTGTATATAATACAAGCCAGTTTTCTCACCATTAATTCCTGATGTTGCAGAAAACAAAAAACACAGTAAATCCTTATTAACTGTCACAACTTTGTGTTTTTATCATGTTATGTCACAGTAATGTAAAGATTCAATGTATGTCTTGGAAACAAGCTCTTGCATTGTGCCCACAGCTTTTACAACAGTCATCCACACATCCTTCCATATAATTATGCAATCTGGTATTAATAATGTTACAAGGACTTCTTATGAATCTTTCATGAATGAACTGTTTCCTTTTCTCCTCACCCACTTCACACTCACCATACATGAGAGACCACATTTAGTCAGTGCAATCATCAGATACTTCAAGACTGCTGATATAGTTTTAGTAAGCATAATGTGAAATTCACTTGCCCTTGTAGCTCTATCCAGCCACTATTATCCTGATCTCCCCCTTTCCTGCTTACATCTAAAAATCATGAATAGGCATAGATGAGATGGAATTTCAAACTACATTTCTCATTCCATCACTGACATTCTGTTTTCTAATCTCAGCAACAGGGATACTGCTCATGCCCCCTTTAATTGTCAGTGTCCTCTTATTGGGCCTAAGAGAGAAGACGATAGGGCATGGAGAAAACTGTATAATGATGAGCTTAAACATCTGTACTCCTCCCACAATATTGTCAGGGTGATTAAGTCGAGAAGAATGAGATGGGCAGGGCATGTAGCATGCATGGATGGGACAAGAGGTGTGCACCGGGTATTGGTTGGGAAGCCTGTGGGGAGACCTAGACGTAGATGGGAGGATAATGTCAGGTGGGATATATGGGAGATAGGAGTTGAAGGAGACTGGATTTTGTTGGCCCAGGGCTTTGGTTAATTCGGTGATGAACCTTCGGGTTTGGTAAGCCATCTAGTTAGTTAGTCAGTCCTGTTATATTGACCAGTGTAAAGCAACGTAAGTCTTGTGCCAGAACATTCACCATTGTCAGTGATGCTGTATTTCCACTGAGTTAGCAGTCATTGAATTGAGATATACCTCATTTCCAAATCTTATTAAAATGACATGAGCCATAATAAATTCTTACCTATTCAGCCATATTATGAATAGTCAGTCTTCTGTCATTTCACATTGAATAACACACATGATCTACTGACTCATATGTGCCCATGATGCTTGTCACTTTCAATAGACATTTCACCTACTTTGAAACAAAAGAACCATGTAAATACTCAGGTTCTATTCATTGGTGGATCTCCAAATGCTATGTGGGTCAATTTAAAAGTGTTTTCTAGTAGAGTTTAATGCATATATATTGTTCTGTGCTATTGGGCATCATTATATTGACACATGATAAAAACACACTGACCACGAATGACCAAAGCAATGAGATGAGTTGTAAACATACCAGAACATGCAGTAACATGCCAGGACACGCTCACTGCAGTCACACCTCTGAACAGTGCAATGTATCTGAAACATGAATTCAGTCTCCAGTACATTTTAATCACACCTGTTATACAGGACAACAAACAGTTTAAAAATGGGAACAAAAAATAAAATCATGAAGAGATTACTGTAAAAGTGAAAAAGTGAATGATGAGGATGATTCTGTGTATAGAACATTCAAGGCATCATTACAATGAGAAAATGTTGATATATTGATGTCTATAAAAATCACCAGAATACCAATTTCTGATCTTAATACAACATTATTAGCACATTATATAAACCAGAAACCCTCTCACATCATGTTGCCTCTTCAAAAGATTTTCAGAGGCAAAACATACTGTTACTTCTCTTGCAGACGGCATATTTATTGTCTCAGTGAGTCACAGTGACACAAAAATATATATTTATAATGTAAACTGTCTGTTGCAGTTCACATTATATGTTATGTATACATTTATGTTCTCACTTAAAATCAATTTTCAGGAAGCAGTTGCTGGATCAGGAAATGTTATGGAAAGTTGGTCACAGTTTGGTGGAGTTATTAGGAGCCTGGGCCCTACAGGTTGTGGGGAAAGTCCCCACATGTTACATTATGCACATGAGCTGGCTCGACGAGATGTTGAGATTTCAAACCTACGTAAAGCCAAGCACCAGCTTGAAGGTACATTCCGAGAACTGCAGAGGGCAGCAACCACAAAGGAAGAACAAGATCAGGAAAAAATAAATGAACTCAAAGAAGAAGTGGCAAGGTTAACTGAACCTTATATTAATAAAATAGTATATATGATGATTCTGGAACCATTAGCAAAAAAACTGCAATGTAATGGATGTGAATACAAAATGCTTTACAGCAAATAATTCACACTTCTACAACATTTACTTTAGTTTTCCGTCATTTACAATATGTAATTTGTCTAGTGAATTTAGAATATCAAGATACATTACAACTTTTACCCTTCATGAAGACTATGCATCCTTTCCTCCAATGTAAGCTGTCACTCATGAGTTATTAAATACTGCTCATAAAACAGTAAAGTACATGCTAACCAGATGTAAGCTTTCAAAATGCCTGGATACTAGTCCAAGAGATAAGAATTTAATGTGTAAAATCTGTCATACAAAATCTCCATTTACCATTTCTTCTACAATTTCATGCAAACACATATACATAATACTAAAATCTTTAAATTATGTTTCTTACTGCAAAGACATGACAAGGTACTCTTGAGTGACAAGAGATTGTAATCCTAAGTAGGTATGTGATACATCAAGTACTTTTAGAACTGACTATGGTTACCATTTTTAATCTGTATATAAAGTATTATCTTCAGAGATCAGACTAATTACATAATAATGCTTTGTATGTGATTTATTATTATGAATACAATCTGTTTACAACTGAGCACAACCCACCACACTATCTTTAATTCTGTACTTATTTCTGGATGTTCAAAAGACCTATACCAGAAAAATCTGATAAAAGAATAAACATCATTGTGAGCAACGGGTCTGCAGCATAAGCTGCGAGTAGTATCACATAAAGTTTAAATTATTGATCTGTTGTACTATTACGGACATTTGAAAGGTACTGGATTTTTTCTGTATATTTAATGCTAACAGTAACTTGAGCACTACTTTCTGAAATATGAACTCCCAATTCTTTGCAGCCTTTTGGGTTAACATTTCATTGTTATTTCAGATTACAACGTTGTCAATCACGTGAAGGAGCCAATCTTGAATACCTGAAAAATGTTGTGCTGAGTTTCCTACTGTCAAGTGATTCAAATTCTAAGAGACATATGCTGAATGCTATCGCTGCTGTACTCAAATTTAGTTCTTCCGAACTGGAGCGAGTGAGCTGCACTCATAAGCCACCTGCACAAGGAAATATTAAATAAGGACTACTGAGCTTAGTAACTGTCTTATTAAATCTAAACACACAAACTCTGGACACAAGATTTAGGTCATTTTTCCATCAGGAATCATGTCTGAATATTCTGTAATAAGAAAAATATATTCCCAATGGTAAATGAGGACTATCACTTTTGGACAAGTCCTGATGGTTTGAAATCATGAGATTTTTTACGCATCAGTCTACAGTATTATAATAAAATTTAATTACCTACATGATTAATAAGAATAAACAGGTGATATTATACATCAAGCTGTGTACTGTAATTACATACTGTAAACCAACATATCACTACTGTCATGTTAGAGAAAACTGTTATATTTTGTGTAATTAAATACATGATATGAAACCTACCTTTGCCATCAAAAAGTGTGTGCATGTGCGTGTGTGTGTGTTACTTTTTGCAATGGGGTGAGACCATGTCTTTGTGGAATTGTGCTGCTAACATCTACAGATAATACACCGAGTGAATATCGAGCAGTGGTGAAATGATATTGACAGGGAGACCAAATGACTTTGAAACAAACCTGTCCCCATTTTGACTACCACAAATCTAACATGGAGTAACCTGGGTGAGAACCTAGGCCTCTGTAATAAAAAGCTGATGACTAACAACGTGAGCTTTGGTATTGTGGGCTGTTTACCACAGGAATGAATTTTTGAGTGTTTAATAATGTATGCAGTAGCAACATAGTTCAATGTCTTATAATTCTAATTTTACAATGAGAAAACAGTCATTCGCTATTATATATTGTTTCTGTTGTTAGAGTTTTTATATCTGGGTATGTAAAGAGGAGTGTGGATTAACTGATAAAAATATGGAGGATTTTGAGGATAACTGTCTTCTGGGTTATTGCACTGTGTAGTCTTCTTTGACAAAGGCATTTTAGCAATACATATCTACTTCTTGCTCAGGTAAGATATTGGCTTCATGACCTGCAGCAGCAAATGATTTTATGCAAATTTAATCCAAAGTGATGTTCAAGTATGAACAACATGTTCTGCTCATGAATACACCATGTTTGCACATGTGCAACTGGTGTGAACAGTGACACAGAAACTAGGGTGACCTTGACTCAAGTGTTACTGGGGGCACTGGGAGAAAGTATTATGCAGGGGCTTCTGATTTAATTTATGTACCATAGTATATAATTATTTATTGGTTGTACTTTGATGGTACAACTTATACTATGCTGCCTGATGGCAAGAAACATTTCACCATGAATTTAAATTTAAAACTTCTACCAAATAAACAAAACAGTGGAGTGTTTTGTATATATCCTTCAACCAATTCTTAAAACAGTGTGAGATCACCACCACATACAATAAAAATATCAAATTTCTGATATTTCTTTCTACTACAGAAAGAAACAGCATAGGTTTCAGTTCTTATTGCTTAAAAAAATTTAGCACTAACTTATCCTATTCTTTTCTGATTTCATGTTTGAGAAAACAGTTAACTTACGTTTCAAGAGTCTGCAAAACCAGTGACTGGAAATCGTATAAGGTGCTCCTTAAGGACAGAAGGGAAAAGTGAAAATAATTTAAACCGTTCACCCATTTTGTCTTGGTCGACCATCATATGATATCCTAACAAAAGATTTTCTCTCTGCTTTTCATCACAGTTTTTTAGTAAAATCTGGAAATAAGAATAATATAACAATAAATAGAACATTAGCAGCACTGAAGTTCTAACCTACCAATTTAATTTTTCTGTGTGTGTATATACATACATATATACAAGTTAAACCCCAATACAGCATTTCTCTATATACTGTCATTTTCCCATTACAACCAAAAAAACCCTGACAAAGAAACCCACCATGTAATTTCAAAGGGAATCCTCTAGTAAAATGCCACCCCTGCTAGCCAACATCTGTGGCAATACAAATGTACTGTTATGCATTAGAAATAAATCCATTTTGTTTCCACTTGCTATACAGACAACTCCCTGGCACATTCCAATGCAAAAATACTGTACACAAACAATTCTACAGTAATAAATAAAACCTACTCAGGTAAGAAACCACCTACAGCAATTTGAGGACAGAGTGGGCTGTTATTATTATTTAGTGTTCTGTCTGAGGACAGGTCCATATGAACAGGATCCTTCCATCCTTTTCTCGGACTGGGACCTGTTCATATATATACGTTTTTGGCAGATGATCCAGAAGTGGTTTGGCATTGCCTTCTTCTGTGTGTGAATGTAGTAATTGTTGGGATGCCACGGAGAAACCGGGGAAGCCCCCGGAGGAAAACTCCGTGTTGCCTAGACCACGGCCTTGCCCAACACAAGTTATAAATTCGGGCACCGCCGGGAATCGAACCCGAGACCCCAGGATTACAAGGCCAGCGTTCTAACCGCTAGACCACCGTGGCTAGTGGGCTGTTACATAATCATAATCAGTTTTGAAGATGGCTGTCTTCTGGGCTGTAGCGCTGTGCAGTATGATAAAAGTTTACCAGCGTTTCAGAGGTCCTTGCTACCACCATGAGTAAGCCATGTGCGTGGAATCGGTTTGTGTTATAGGAAACTGTCGGTCAAGGCAGAGCCTTGGATTGACCAGAGGGCAGTAGAGTGAGGATCGGACAAGGGCCTAGGAGCCAACAAGAGTAGGTGGCATGCCACAACCTGGCCAGAGGGAGGGTGAAGGATATGTAAGAGAGACTACCACACTACACGGTGCTACACCTCAGAAGACAGCCATCTTTGTACTTGTGGCCATGAAATCCTCAAATCCTGCAACCAGTTTTATTTGTCTCACATTTTTGGTGAAATAAAAGATGTATCCACTAAGAAAATATCTCAGGGTTCAAATATTGTTGAAACAGAACATGGCCCTAAAAATGAACTTTCTTAAATATAATGATTTGTGACAATTTTCCATTAAAAGTATCTGACATTAAGAGAGATAATTAGGACAATTTAATGCACGGTTACAAAGTTAAGTGATATAAATTGTAATTACAGTGAAAAAATTGGTCTAATAGAGGCAATTCTCATCTTGATTCTTGACATTTTTTCCAAATTCTGATCTCAATCTTGTCTTGAAATGAAAAGTAATTCTCACACATGCCAAAAATAATTCAAATAAAATTAATAGATTAATAACAGAGGATTCTCTTGTCCCATATTAATTTTAAGTGTTGTATTATTTGGATGTGAAACACAGTCTCTGACTAAAGAAAAAACAAAAATTGTGGCCGTTCTGAGAATATCTGGATCTAAGAAATAAAGAAAAGATTGCACAATGAGGAGTTTCATAATTTGTACTCTACATCCAATTGAAAGGATATTGAATCACAAGTGATGAAAGGAAATGGACATGTAGCATGCATGGTAGAATTGGGAAATCCATAAAAACAATTTGGTTGTAAGACCCAAAAAAGGAGAGATTGCTTGGGAAGATAATTTATAAATATTGATTGAGAAACTGAATACAAACGTGAAGTGAACTGAACTAGCTCAGGACTATGAATATGGTTATGAACGTTTAGTTCCATGAAGCTGGAGAATTTCTGGCAAGTTGAAGACAACTATTAACTGTTAACAGATCCTGAACAATGCACCACATACCTGAAGGCGTATATCAATGCCCATCCGCTTCAGGAACTCTCTTTGTGTCACAGGGCCAAAAGTTAAGAGTTTGTCCTCCGTACATGTTTTGAAATATGAAAAATCTACATCAGCTGTAAGATCTGCAGAGCCTGGGTCAACCAAGGCATCATGGAGTTGATGGTCGCGGAAACCCTGATAGGAAGAGGGGAGCACAGGAATTATGTCTTGAACACATTACTGAAAATGCATAAAGTATCAACAATACTTACTATATTACAGATTCATCAATCAATCACTATAGTGGTGAAAAGAGTTTAGCTACTGAATGTCTTGTACAGTCTCACTACCTTTGACAAAATGTTACTTTCACTTAACTTCTGAGGTCTCCGCTTCTTTTAAAGAGAAGTATTCTAATATATTGTACAATTTCTGTATTCATATTTGCTTCATGTGCCACCAAAAGATGGGAAATATGTATTGAATGCCTTTCCTTCTACTCCATCTTAAAAATATTTACTTTTCAAGGGGATTTCTTAATAACATAATTCTCCTGTTTAGTCGTAAGAAATCAAGTCATGTGATGGGCACATCTCAAATAGGAAAAAAAATAATGAAGGACTTTCAGTTCATTCAGACTGTGACATTGTTGTCAGATAATATGCCATATCTATCCAAATACCATGTGCTAATTTTTGCATACAAAACTGAGTGAATGACTTATCTAAGGATCTGATTTGGATAGCACAAAGTGCTAGGTGTGGGAATATACAGGACAATGGTGGACTTGGCAACACTGGTGCATTGCATATCTTATTTGGGGGCTCCAGGTATTTAGATAAATGGAGTAATATAACCATATGAGAATTCTATTCAAGCAGTGACAATTTAAATCACTATTTACTACTGACTTTGATTGCAAAAATATTATATTTACATTTCTCTTCTATAGTTAAATATAACAAACCAACTCCTGTAATTGTGAAGCATGAAATGAAAGAAAATTATCTTCAATAATGAAATTTGAAATCTCTGATTAGGGAACAAAATTATTCAAAAATGTGAAGCTTACTCTGAAAGTATCAGTTTTGCTTCCATCATGTCCATAATCAGCAAATAATGCAAAACCTCCATCTTCTTCTAACCTTGTAGCAAGATGCTGAAGGATCACTCCACCCTCAGCACAAACCTCTACATGGTCTCTCTTCTCATCAGCCTGAAAACAGAACTTTTCACATGGTTTCCTCTCATAAACGTGTAGAACATTTAATACTGTCTCACATGCAAAAATCCTTTTGTTCAGTAATCTCATTGCTATGTTTCTATGTGGCTGCTATTGCTATGTGGTCATAATTATTTTTATAGCACAAAATTTAACTATGTGCACCAAATATAAAGTATGTACACAAACATACTTTATATTTCAATACACTACATGGTATGCAAGGTTGTAAGATTATGTGCACCATTTAATGCAGCAAGCAATCAATTAGCTGTGCCACAGCGATAAAGTTAAAACCTCACTAATTCAGATTAATTGGGTGAACAGTCAGCTTAAATTAGAGAGAAGACCTGAATTACAGAACTGTATCATTAAAAATTCATTTATGAAAAATTCCTGTTTCATAGTCTAAATTACAGAGGGTCCAGATTAGTGAGGTTTTACCATACGCATATAACACTGTCATAATAAATACCATTATTTCTCTACAGTTTATGGGTACTTTCAGTAACATTTTTTAGGTGTGGGAACATATCCCTAACGCAATGGTAAAGGGGTATATGTCCTAAAAGTTCAGGAAATAAAAAAAACAGGTGTTTTAGTTTAGATGTGTACAAACATGCATCAAAATACTTAATTAATTACATCAAATCTTGCAAACTGAAAGTGCCACACAACTTAAGATTATAATTATTTTTATATTCTTATACTATTATTTGGTATCTGTACTGATAATTAATACAGTTACATACCTTGATAAGGACTTTTGATGCTGGAGTAGACATTCGTGATATAACATATCTAAACTTTACTGTGTCAGCTGCTGGATCAATGTCTATTAGAATTTCTCTCCAACCAGCTTCTGTTCTCTGACAATATTAAAAGTTGTTTCCAGTAAAAAAAGTATCCATTTTGAGCATTCCAATTAAGTGACAAGAATTTAATTCTTTATATGCTGTATTTCTATATGATTCTGTAATGCCCTATATTGAGCAGTTTCTGCTACTTTTAAATATATTCTATTACTGCATTTTAATGCTTGCATCTTATTTGTCTTACCTCATGATCTAAATGTACTGAAAAGGCTATATTTCCATGTACACTATCACTGTCACTAGATACATCTGCTATGTTTACCACTGCTAACTGTAAAACTTCTTTTACAAACACAGCATTTACTCTTCCAGTAAGATAAAGAAGTGTTACTGTGTCACTAAGATTATATTGCTTTAGTAGTCTGAGCTGAATATTCATAGGATAAGGAAGCTTATAAGTCAAATGCTTCTACAGTAGTGCACACCACTGGTGGCATGGAAATGAATTCACATTTGTAGAAGAATACAGCATGCAAAGTGTTACAAGTGGAGTCTTCTAATAATTTTGATTGTGACAGTGTTACCAACATAACATTATATTTATATTTCTCATTGGCAATTTACTATAGAATCATTTAAAATTGTGAGAATTTAAAAACCATAAATAAGTTATGAAAATACACAGATTACATGCTTACTTTTCAGTAACATAGTAATTATAGTTATATGGGTTACTAAGAAAACAGAAAAATCATCAGAAATTACTTTAGTTCAGATATGTTTATGAGGCATAAAACACATGGCATTGAAAGTGATCTGTACCACAAAGAATGATATGGTTAAGTATGGAACATACTGTTTTGAAATTTTACTTAGAAAATTCTCTTTGTTCAATACAGAATATATAGCTTCATTTACAAATCCCAATGGATTAAAAAAAGAACAAGAATTCTTTGCCAAATAATAACATAACATCAGCAAAATGAAACAAACAGTGAATATTCTTTTTCTTGAAGTATGATTACACACACAAAATGTTTCTTCTTAAAGCTTAAAACATCTCTTAATCAAGTGAATACTTAACAGAACTCCTGTACAAATGTATTTAAATTTTCAAGCACAGTGATAGATGTTGCCCAATGTTATTTACAGGCATCATATTAAACTACTTTATGTTACAGAGGTAATATAAAATATTACCTCTGTAACATAAACAGGTAATATAAAATATGAAAATTGTTTCAGCCAAAGTGAATATTAAAATACAGATGTTTACAGATGGAGGAATCTGGCTACCATGTGGTTATGCATGTTTGCAAAAGATGCATACATATTTTCTTTATAAATTTTCCCACGATTTAGTTCATATGGCTGTATCAGCAGTATCAAAAGGTACTTATTCAGATTTTATATTTAAACCAACTGAGCATGTGAGTCTACAAACAAAAGTTAAAATTGCTTGCATATCCCTCATTAATAATGTAGAATAATACAAAATCCATAAGCAACACTGTGCAGAATCTCTTACCTGAAATTTATGGATGGGCAGTGCATCAAAGAACTCATGTGCAAGGAAGCAAGAAAATTGTCGAGGAACATCTTGTATACTGTTGTACCAGAAGACAGGGATATTTTTGGCAGTTGTGCCCAGTTGGTAATACAGCTGTGTGGGTTCTGATGGTCTTATTGTCTTCTCACAAAGTGTCTGGGCTTGCATTTGACTAAGATAAGGGCTTACCTCCACCAAATGTAGACTTACTTCATTTCTAACTCCAAACCGGTCAAATACCTATAATGACATGTCTACTCATAGAAATGTAGTCTATACTGATATCACTAATAAAAAGAAGACTAATACTGGTGAGGTTATAGTGTAGCAAAATAGAACTCTAATCTACGGTGAAGGCAAGTTTCACATATTTTTCAACATTACTTTGCATGACTCTCCACATATAAATATATCTTGGTGATTGCAAGGCAAGCACTAATAATATTTATACGTAACTAATTATCTAAGGAAAGTCCTGTTTGAATAGCCACAAATTCCGAATCTTATATACTTAATTACCAGTAAATACAAGTTTTCTTAAAAGTAACATAATCACTAAACCAAATTACTGTATAACACAAAAATTGCTTAATTGGTTTTGTAGCTATCACTAACACTTTATTTCATATATTTGTAAATTGTTTTATCTGTATTGCAGAGTAGGATGCAACCATGCACACAATGTTTATTGGAAAAGACCCAAAAAGAATAGGAAGCTGCAAAGTTACAAGAAACTCCATCAATTTTTAGAAACTATGCATAAAAAACAAAATATATATACACAGTGAAACTTGACAGTTGTGCTGCAGTATGACCTTCCTGTTACACATCCGTAGCTGCAAATCCACGAAGTTTCCAGTTGCACCAACAATATTCTGAATACTGTGTCAGGAACTCTGACACTTCCTAATGGATTTGACCTTCACACATTATTAGTATTACGAAAAAATACCCATAAACATTACTTTTATTCATCACCATTAATAAGTTAAACCTTCAAAGCCAAAATTCATCTTGAACACTTTGGAAAAGTTGTTGCACTTTTTGGATGTTGTAGGGATAAAGACCATGTAAAGACTTCCATACTTGTGTGTATGTACATATATTTGATAGATTCTGCCAAATAGCCACCAGACAGAAAAGTTTCTAAAATCACAGTTATAAACATAAAATATACAAACTATGTTTCATATATGCATAAACTCATAAACTAACATAATAAAATACTTATGAAGTGTGTATCATGAGAACTATTGTTCAACCTCCTGTGATGGTCATGTCAGCTCAATTTACAATAAAATTGAGGCCTATTATTGTACATACATAGACAGCAGAATTGTAACATTGAGTTATTGTGTACTAAAATACTGATATAAGGGACAAGTTAAGATAATTAGAATGTTGAAATAACTTCAACTGATGAATAACTGAGACTGAATTGCTGTAGTATAAAGCCCAAGCAATGGGGACTTGGCCACCAACTTGGTTCCCAGCTATACAAACCCCATGTACACATGGGTTCAGGATCTTTTGAGGCATGCTGAAGGCAGGGCAAGGAGAAGCTTAATCCTGAGTAACAGTAAAGCAGGTCATGTTAGGGACATAGGTGATTCTATCTTTCGTCAGACTACAACCAAGCCACCATCAATCAGCTCGTTGCCTCCAGCATAAATCAGGGTATATCTGTACTTGCAAACTAGTTAGTCACAAAGAGATGTGAGGTGGGTCAGAAACACATTTAGTCATAAAACAATCTATTTAATTTACATTAACCCAGTCTACCAGGGCTATACTTTATCAATACTTTGGCACAGCATTCAAGATTAATACATAGTATACCTCAGATGATACCTTCTTAAAGGATCAAAACATGCTGGGTTAATGTAAATAAAACAGACTGTTATAAATGGATTGTTTTATTGTTTATAATGGCAGATATTATAACACTATGCTAACCAATGTAAAAATATATTTAAGAAAACACTGCACTTAACACTCTGTGCCCTTATCAAAGGCAACTGAAAACTTATAAATTTATTCTTGTAAGATCTGAAGCTTTCACGGTGACTATAATAAATTCTTCTTGGGGTACCAGTTGGTGTTTTCTTCATTAAGCCACCTTACACGGCTGGTAGCCTGAGGAGATTTTACTAAATTTATTCTTGAAGGTAAGACATGAGTCAGTTATAAGAGGAGATAACACTTGTATGAGTGAAGACCTGAAGAGACACAGACAAACAATAATTACACATACTTGGCATTCTATCGATGCAGTGACACCTCAGTGAGAACCAAAGTTAAAGACTTCACTGTGTGGATTATGCATTCGGCATTACTTTTTGCCTATCTATGCACATGCTCTTACTCTATTACCTGTTCAATTACTTTACTTAGATATTAAAACTAAGAAAGCAAGCATTACTCTAAGAACATCTTCTGCCAATGAGCCATGGCCTGGACCCATCTCCACCAACTGAAGTGGTATTGGTGAGCCAATTTTTTGCCACTCATTGAAACACCATATTGCAACCATCTGAAAAAAGGACAGAACCTCATATAAATGAAAATTATAAGCAACCGATTAAATTTTTATAAGCTTTTGAACAACATCTAGACTTCACAATACTTAAACTCAAAGACCAGTGCTACATTCCTGGTAAGGGTGCAGTGAAATTTTTACTTGATCACAATATCCAATAATCTGTCCAGACACACAGTTTACAGGCATCACAGAGAGGAAGTGACCAGCATGTAGTCAAGACAGCATTGTACCATGTTTGTCTGCTGTGTAAATGAAAGTAAACTAACCTATCCAACATTACCACTAACAAAATAGGTCAGGAGTGGAAGTGAGTGTGACTCCATTATCCCCTGATTCCTCTTACTGATTAAAGTCCTGTCATTGGAAAATGGGCATGTGATGGGAAAAGGAGCAAGTAGTCATTTTGTTTGAGAAACAGGACATGACTGAGCTATTGAACATATTAATGTTATCAGAAACATTCCAACATGCGAAAACATTACAATAACTAATATTTTCTTATAAACTACTATCACCTTTTTCTTTCAAATCAAATAAATATGCTAAAAAATGGGCAAATTTCTTAAAATAAGTTCATTGACATTTGCAAGCAACAGGTATTTTGTATAATCTATTTTTTATTTTGAATTTTAACAAATGAAGGAAGCTTTTGGTATTTCTCAAAATGCAAAGAAATTTTATTTTGAAATATTTACTTCTCCGAAAAGCTGCCCCAATTCTGGTGAAGTTATGAAGTCTCCATTCCCTCCAATCACATTTCGATGCATATAATATCCAGATACAGGATTTGTCAGAACTTCTTTCATGTATTCGGCTACACTGATGGGCCCCGTAGATTTAATCTTCGCCTGCAATTGTCGAGCCAGAGAAATAGACTCCTTTTTAATTTTACTCTGCTCTCCTGCAAAACACACAACATAAACCAAACTAACATTATACAGTACAAGTATTTTATTAAGTATATATTCATAGTATGACATGGTCCACATCCTAAGCTTATACTACGAAGGATCAATGGCATGTAAATACATGCTGGATTATAAATGCAACAAATATATGCACCCACATACAATCCACGCAAACATAAAATATACATGTACCATTATTAATGAACTTAAACGATGTCTTCGGATATTTTAAATTTAAATATGTTGGAATAATTTGCAATTTTTTGAAATTTAAAACCATCAGGAAAACTAAAAACACTCAACACCATTTCGAAGTCAGCTTTTTCACTCTACACGATTACCAACCAACCACATTCCTTACATTTCTTGAAGGGTGACAGATAGTACTGGTTGTAGGCGGGTGGAAGCATAGATCAATTTCTCCAGTTGCAACATAGAAATTTCCCCAACGTTCCCACAATTTCCCCTCTTCAGCAGTTGGAACATCTGTGCTAGGTTGTCTTTTGATGGGAATAACTAAAATAGATCCGTTAGTAGATCTGTATGGACGACAAAACATTGAATTGAATCACTTATGACGTCACTTCTGTTCAGTTTTAAGCAATTTATGCATGTAAATCAATCTATTTATGCAGTTTTATTCGCAAGTATATAAGATGAATAAATATTTTATATGGGTAAAGTGGTCTTTAATATTGTCACATTATTAATGAAAAGGTTCAACAATTTTTCGTAAAATTCTGCAGTATGAAATGGGATTAACACGATGTACTTATTTAGTTACTTTATACTATTTCGTTTATTTTTTATTTCGCAGGTATTGAGAGTTTTCGGCGAGTTCCATTTATTTTAATAAAAATTATAATACCAGAGAACATGTCATGGTATGAACTAATAAATAGGTTACTAATGAAGTTACATCGAAATCCATTTTAAGGTGAAAACCCCCTATACAAGGACAGTTTTCCTATTAGGCACTGTACTGTACATACTTGTTCTTCAACATTTCTTTCAAGAATCAGTATTTAAATTTCCAGGCTTTAATAAAACTTCATATTGGAACTTTGCCCTGTAAGTAAATAATTGGTACAAGTTAGTGCATGTAATAAAAAAGGATGTTTTTATGTTGCATTGAAAATACAAAGTCCTTTATGTACATTTTTATTCTTTAACAGTGAGAAAACAATGAGGTACCTAATTCAATGCGGACACAAACAGTTCCTTCCATACCTGAAGGTCCTCTGCACAAACAGGTATTGTACTGAAGTGAAACCTGAAACAAAATCTAATCCAACATTATGGAGAAAACCTTGGGCTCACAAAGAGGGAGAATGGTTCAGCATGTTTCGTTTATTTGCCCCTGAGAAAGGTGGAAGTCTTGAGGTAATAAGGATATTACAGAATAATATTAACTTTAGTCCGCAAGCAATTCAAAAGTGGATAAAAAAGACCAAGAGAGAAGCCAGTATTTTGGATATGAAGTATATACCTGAACGTCATGATATACTGGGTAGCAATCTAGCAGCTGCTCATTTCTTAGTTCATAGAGGTGCAGCAATTAGATTTGTAGGCTCCACAGAATGGATAAAACGACAAGGAGATGAATATGATCTTCCAAACAAATATAATCCTGACTACTTAGTAGAAGCTATTGATATTTTAGACATGAAACTTTATTATGAAGGTTTCCAGAACATGACTAATCTAAGTAGTCTACAGTGGCTGAGTCTACAAAACTGTGTTGAAGTTGATGACTGGTTTTTGGACAAAATCAGCTGTGAATACCAATCCTCTTTGGAATATTTAGACATTGGCAACTGTGTGCAGGTATCACACCGAGGGATTAGTGCACTGTATCGAATGAGCAAGCTCCGTACACTCAAGGTGCACAATATTGCAAACAGCCAGATGTTTCAACTTGCTTGCTTAATGCTAGAAGACATTCACCCCCAGCTGAATATTGAAGGTGTTACATATTTAGATTCAGAAAATCAGTCTGTATGATTTTATATACTGAGCAGTTTGTGCTGTAGTAAATGCAGTTGTAAAGTTGTATTTCTTCAAAGATAAAAATAAATTTGAATTGGAAATATATGGTACTTAATAATGCTGATATTGAGTGTAATCAGTTCTTAGTTATATGAATATTCTCTTACCCTGTATTGAAAATGGCTGTCTTAATGACAGAAGATATCCTTATGACCTGTATAACACTTGAATTAATAGAAGCAGCGGCATTTTACAAATTTTTAGCTGTGTATTATCACTGCAAATTTCTTGTTTGGGAGACAAGCTATAAACACAGTAGACATTGAGAGACCTTTATTTGCACAACTCTTATGCTGTCTCAATATTAACCATAAAATTACCATATGTATACTGTATTCAGTTATCATTGCTGTCCTTCAAATTTTATATTTCAGCTCACCATTATGTAATGTCCGTCCTTCAATCTACAAGGGAGGTGGCAGTGGAAGAACACTCATGTTCTATTAAAATGACCGATCAATTATTCTTAGATGTCTTGCTTTCAGGAAATTACTATCAGAGCACAATTATGTCACATTGAATCTTATATAGTTCCAAGAGATATTTTAAAATGAATGTTCAAACTTAAGTATCACACTACACACAAGGGTAGAAAAACCAAACCATTTAAAAAATCTTTTAGATTTACTTTGCAACTACAATAAATTAATAAAATACTGTTCCCAAAAATTCAAAATGGATTTTGTGGAAATCAGTAATTTAGTTTGTCTCTGGAAGGGACAGAAGAAAATTGAGTGATAAACTTACTTTTTATTTGTGTTTTATTTAATCTTCCCATGATTGTCTGCAGGTGGTGGCAATAACATACCACTCTGCGTCAAAAGTAAAGTGCAACTTGAAAATACAAAGTTGGACAGAAACACACAAGAAAACAGGCCAGTCAAGTGGGTAAAAACTAGGAAATTAGGTTCATTTTACATTTTTCAATAAATATACACTAGTGATATCTGCATTTATATAATGCCACTTTAAAACACACAAAAATTATAGACCTAATTAATTTGGTTGCTATTAATTAGTTTGTTCAAAAAATAAACTAAAACCAATCTTGCCAAGACAGTTGCAATAAGTTCAGGCATGCTAAAAAATGAATATCATGAAGCATCACAAAGACTACCTATTTAGTTTCAAAATAAGTCTGGGAACATCTAATACAGTAATATAAGAAGCTGGGAGCACGGGATCTGTGTTGTCATGCAAAAGGAACACTCATGAATAGAAAAAGCAATGTGAAGACATGTCTCACATTCCGTTGAAGCTCGATAATAAGGAAATGCATGACCGACATGAAGCACTGTCAACAGTTCCCTGCTAATAAATGCTGAGGTTTCTCTTTTAGCAGGTTGTGTTATCACACTTGTAAAGTTGCTGGTGAGGAGGGATTGAACAGTTGCAGTCACAACACTGCTTATGAAGATGACAGCATTCATTACATTCATACCAGACTGAACAGTACCATCATCTTGTCTGGAACACACTTCAGGTCCAACTTAATTTCAAATGGCAGTATACAATTCTGTATACTGCTTTTTCTTTCCTTTTTTCCCCCTTTCAAATCTGGTAGTCTTCATCATCTCAGCAATTCTCTCTCCTACTCATCATTTTACAAACTTTCATTACTAATAATTGCACTGCTCCATCAAAAACAAAAATAAAATGCATATCCATTCCATCTGATAAATTGGTTAAAACCTCCTATATCTTGCATTGCATCTTGATGGACTAATAAAAATGTATCTACAGTTTAATTCTTTACAAAATGGTACAACAAACTGCAATTTCATGCCTCTGGCAATATTCTGCCCAACAATGGCATGGCAGCTAAAGGCTGAAAGATAACAATGTTGTCACTTTGAACTATACACATCCAACAATACAACAATTTTCTTACGTCAATATATATATATATATGTTTTTCATCTCTCTATATTTATATATATGTATATAACAACAATGTAAATATATAAAATATTAAAGAATACTCACTAACTGTAAGAAATAATTACACTGTGCTACTTGCTTTCCAGCAAGAATAACTTATTTTAAAATATAAAATAAAAATGTAGCACCTACACATTGTTAAAAGCAGTCAGTAGCACTACTGAATGAGGAAAATTATCTGTGCATGGAGAGTTAAATGACAAAGTACACACATAATACATCAGAGAGGAAACACAAGTGAAATCCATCACGTCTTGTGGCTCTTTTGTTGGGGAGAAAATATCAATTGCTCTTTAGAGAGAACAATCCAAAACAAACAGTGGCAAAGAGTAATTTCCAGAGATGGAATTAACTGTCACACTTTTCCCAATCAGGATGTGAATATATCAAAATCAACTAATCTTAAATAGCTTACATGTTAACAAAAGTCAGCTAGAAACAAAAATTCAACATTCATTCTGCAGTGAAAGTTCATGCCTGTGTAAACATTTCGACTGAATTTTCATCCCATGAAATTTTTAGTTATATCAATCAATAAAGAAGGAAGGTAGAATTGATAATATATGGTATTCCCATATTTCAAGAATAAAATACTGCACTTGATTCATGTAACACACTTTGCTTGCTGCTTGAGACTTCCATCAGGTAAATATCATTTAATGGCAAATGCTAAGTGTACTTTCAAAAGACAGTATTTTGAAGTCATGACTTATTGTACTGTTTAAAAAGTTTCTTATACAAGCTACCTTATTCAATAATTTTTCTGTTACAGTAATTCAAATATGTTGATGTGTACATCCTCATTCATAGATCAACATTCAATGTTTCATTTTGTTTACTCTTTAAAGGTTCAAGTAATTTAAAATTATAAAATTTAAAATAATGGCAATACTCAACAAATGCCATAAAATTTCCAATGTTAAAACAAATCTATCCATAAGACATCATCACATTACTTTCTGGGATCTATTGCTTTTTTGTTCCTATGGTATGTGTACCAAATAATCATAAATATGTTCTTTAAAATTCACATACCTTTCAAAAACTAAAAATTAATATTTACAATGGTTTTTTTAAAAGAATCCTCGTTATTTGAATACCAAGTGGTGGTATTGCCCATTGACGTTGGTCCCAAAATGGCAGGGCTGGAGTGGCAGCTAGCTGCTTGAAGATGCAGGGATGGCCATAGGATTGTTGGCAGCGGTGGCCAAGTTGGCTGTGTGTGGCATGGTAGATGACCCTGCAATATAAATTATAGTATTCAATCATACAATTAATTTATTTACAGATGTCAAGAAATCTGGTTCAAAATTAAGAGCCACTTTTGGGAACACAACAGAAACTAGCACTGGGTTTTAAAATTAAACTGTATGGGTACGCTGAGAAAATTAAATTAAAAAATATATACTACATATAGTGAAGTGTTAAATTGATGTTCAAAATATGGTAATAATATATCATACACAGGAAAGTGTGAAGCTTCGCTAGTAGAAATACTGGTATATTTTCAGTTTTTCACATTCAGAAACCAACTGAATGTAGGAAGAAAGAAAATAAATAAATGCAAAGACTTAACTATTGCAGTCAATTAAAAGGATGCCTCCTTTTACAATACAGTGAAACCTCGATGCATCGTTTTCGGCGGGGGTGGGAAATAAAAACGATGAATACGGGAAAACGATAGTTGCGGGACAGCATTAACAATTTTTAAAAAAACAATGTTTCTCTTTCAAAGTTACTTCTTTTTACCAAAAAAGTCTTTAATGGACAACTGGTTTGTCGAAACTTTGCGTTTTAGGCCAAACAGAGCCCTGTCCATGTTCAAAATGAAAAGAAACTGGAGTGTTAACACCTAATATTTTTCTCAGGAAGTCACAGCAGGATCTACTGCCATAGTCCAAAACTGGAGTTTGTAAGTGGTTTGGGAGGAGATATGATTTCTCATAAGGAATTAATTTTGTACACTTCCTGGATAGAACGCATAAAAATGCCCACACCCTGAGATGTAATGCATGTGGAGTAACAACACCAAGAACATACCTGGTGTGGTTGCAGCAGAATCAGTGCCAGAAGCCATGGGACTGGCTAATCCACTTGGAGTCATCGGAGTCAGATTGCTCTGGGCCATTACTTTCTGACGAACCTCTCGAATCTTCAACTGCAGACTTGACTTGTTTGGGAAGATATCAACATGAGCGGCCTGTAAAAATCAATAAATCTTATTTTTTTATATTCAATGTAGCTTCATATAACAGTGTCATAAGTACAACTTTGCACTGTCTAAAACTCAATTTATAATTAGTATTTCCGTCTGCTATCACTGAAGTATGTGTTGATCAATGTGATATATTACATTGCACTGATGAACATGTACTGAAAATGGCTTGAACTATAGAAATGTAGATGGTCCAAGGCAGTGGCCCCCAACCTTTTTGTGCCTACAGACACATTTGAGAGTTTATGAGATTGTGTCGGGCACCAACAAATTAACAAAGCCAAATTTTCTTTTCTCTGGACAAATAAGATATGAACACCAAAATAATACACAAAACAACATGACGTTTAATGATACAAGAAACCATGCAATCAAAAATACGTAGTTTTAGAAGTACAATTATTATTACTCAAGTTGGAAGTTAGTGTGATGTTTGGCACTGGATTTCATCGGCCAGTTTTTCAAATTTGGGAGAGTAGGATAATGTTGCTGCTTGCATACAATCGTCAAGATGGGCGTCAGTAAGTCGAGATCTGAGCTTCAATTTTATAATGTTCATGGTTGAACGGCCTTCATTATTCAGTATAACCTCTTTCCGTAACGCGGGCACCCAGAAAAAGCCTTGGCAGGCGCCATGGCGCCCGCGTTGGGGACCACTGGTCTAAGGCTATGGGTTTTGTGTAACCTATGTACACTTTTCTAAGACCTACATTAATCTGTATGATAGAAAACAGTACCCAGAGAACACATTTCATTAAATGATTCAGTATTTGGCCACCTGAGTTGCCGTCAGCAACTGTCCAGCTTAATGAAGAATGTCAAGAACTATGATACATCTTATTTATGAACACTTGACGAGATGCATGTGAATATCACCAACAGAAATTAATGCAGATATTGAAAGATTA